AACACATTGTAAAGAAATCTTTTAAGCCGGGTCAAAAAGCTTGGCTTTTCAACTCTAGACTAAAACTCTTTCCCGAAAAGTTGCGAACCAAATGGGAAGGTCCATATAAGATCATATCTGTTTCGCCTTATGGGGCAGTTGAAATTCAAAGTTTAAAAAATGGCAACATATTCAAGGTGAATGGACAAAGGTTGAAACCCTACATTTAGGGACAGGTTTTTTAAAGACATATGGAAGCTGCCCTTTTAGTAGATCCGATCTATGAAGAGATATAGTGATGCACTCAATGTTCTCATGAGAAGTTCAATTTCTTGCATATTTTTGACTTTTCGATCAATCTCAAAAGAAGTTCGATCGATTGAACAACTTCTCTGCATCCAATCATCTCTCTGTCCCATCATACGTAAATTTCCTGCATATTTTAGTTCTCTGTGTATCATGCGAACTTCATTTCTGATCGATCTGAAAATTCCAAGATCAATCTGGTTTCCCTTGGATCGATCGAAGTTCTATACTTAGAAAATTTTTGGATCTCTGCATTTTTCATCTCTCTGTGTATCGTTCGAAGCTATATGCAGACTTTCAGGTTTGGATCGATCGAGATTAGATCAATCTATGTTCGATCGATCAGGACATTTCATTTTCTAAAAAAAAAAAAAAAAAAAAAAAAAGAAAAGAAAAGAAAAAAGAGAGTTGCAAAAGCAAATAAAAAAGTGAGAACTTCTCCCAAAAGGTGAGAAGTGGGAAATGATTAGATGGAGGTTATTTTGATTTGTAGCCTAGTTGATTTAAGCTTGTAAGTCCTTAGGGGTGTTTTAACACCTGATGCCCTAAAGCCATCTGGTTTGGGAGTCATTGACCTAACGCTCTACCTCATAGATCGCTAGAAAGCTTAATAGATCAACACATTGCACCATGCTTCCATCTTTGATCCTTAGGATTAGGGAAAAAAAAATCGAGTGAAAAGAATAAGCGCACCTAGATCAACAAAGTTTTAATAAAAAGTCTACTATTTGTCTTGATGATCGATACTAGATTTGTGTGCTAGTTTGAGAGTAAGGATGTGATCATTTCTTTAGTTGTCTTAGATAGCAACATATTTTATGCCGGTCCACTCAAAAAGGATTCTAGAGTTGTTTTTATTTGCATGATCATTGTCTTAATGTGTGGAGGACCATAATTGCTTGTTTGATGTTGAGATTTTAGGAGATTGCTTGAAAATGGTTGAAAAATTGCATACTGGAGGTAGTTTTCTCCCAATACTTGTTTGGAATATTGGTGCCTCTTTAATGAGAAAGAGCTTAATATTTGTGGGTATCATTTCTGGAAACCCTCACGAGACTTCACTCATCCACTAGGGGTAACCTAGGGGTTTAAAAGGCTTGTTGCATGTACTAAATGCAATCGTGTTCCCTACGAAAGTGGCATTATCCTTTTATTGCTTTCTAATTCATAGTTATATAGTTGTTCATTTCATTTCTTTACTTTATAGTTCATTGCTATGGACTAGCAATATTTAAGTTTGGGGGTGTGATGAGCACTGAAAAGTGCGTATTTAAACCCTTTAAGCTTGAGTATTCTAGAACCTTTATCTATCTTATTTTCCCGTTTTAGACGAATTTCATGTTATTGCCCTTTTCAGGCACTTATCCCCAAAATAAGTCAATTCAGCCAAATTAGAGCATAAAAGAAGCTATCTCAGGCTAAATGGAAGAAAAGAGCAAAGTGGAAGCAAAGTAATACAGCAAGTTTCGATCAATTAGACCAATCTTCGATCGATCTTACAGTGATCGATCTAGCCTCACCAAGATGGATTAAACCCCTTGTCCTTATCCTCAAGAATTTCCATCTTCGATCGATCTCACCATTCTTTCAATCGATCGAACTTCCTTAATCTTATCCCTACCTACCACTTTTGTCCTTTTCCCAAAATATCCTAAAATATCTCATAGATTTGTCGTATTCCAAAAAGGTGCCGCCAATGATGGATCGATCTGGTTATACTTCGATAAATCTGGCCAGAGTTCGATCAATCTCATCAGAATTCGATCGATCGAACCTCCTCAAGTCCGAAATAAAACAGAGTCCAGCTCATTAAAAGATGACTCGTGGTGCAATCATTGGAAGGGCCCTAGTGTACGAGATCTGACCATTGGGTGTGACACTTGAGCTACCTATATAAAGATTTTAAGCCATTTTACAAAAAAAAAAAAAAAAAAAAAAAAAAAAAAAAAAAAAAAAAAAGAGACAACAATAGAGAATTTTGGAGAGGAGGCGAGAGATTAGAGAGCTATACACCATTTGGGAGTTCTTCCATTCATCTAGGGTTTCCATCAAGAGGAAAATCATTCTTACCATGGAGATGGCCCTTAAGGGTTGGATGACTACATCAATGAGTGGCTAAACATCTTTTTGGGGCTAGAGTTAGCCCTAAACATGCCTTCTAGATCTTGATGTTTTGTATTTTGAGGGGATTTGTGTTGTAATCTTGTCTTGACATTTGATTTATATATCAATCTTATTTTTACAATGATTTGTGCTGTTTAATACTTTCAATTAATCATTTCAATCTATTCATATGTCTATGTATGCTAGAGTAGATGTTCATGTATTTATCTCTTGGTTTTGTGATACTGATGCATATCTATGTGTATTGATGCTATGAATCTAGAGATTGTCAAAGCATAGTGCTTAAATATAATACTCTTGTGGTTTATTTGATAGTTCATACTCATTTCTTGATGGATTGTGCCTCTACTTTAGTTTAATTAGTTTAATTTTCATGTCCTTAGTTTAAATGTAGTGTAGTTATTTTACTTTCTTAGATGTGAGGACAATCCATGCTTGTTGTTCGATGTTCCATACTTATGAATGCAAGTAGTCTAATTCTCTATCTTGTTAATGTGTTGATTGTGAGCTTAAAGGAAGGAATAATGGCTTAGTTTGATATATTGGGCTATTCATTATGTTGTCTAGACAATGTATACTTAATTAGTCATTCATGCTTGTTGATTCAATCAATCACACCTCTTTGTATTGCAACACATATTTCCCCTCATTCATTACATATTGAGTATCTAGAATGGTGATGTTTAGTGGTGACCTCTAAATCCCAAGACCTCTCTCTATTGTTTTCTTTACTTTATTTACTTTAATTGATTTGTATTGAATTTATTTACATTGTAAGTTTAATTAATCAATCAAATCACCTTTTGATTACTTGATCTACCAATCCAACCTTGTTTCCATTTCAAATACGCAACTAATCCCTTGGGACGATCCCTACTCACCCTAGCTATATTAGTAGTTAGAGGTAGTAGTAGCATTTTATAAATTCAAACTTGGCCACACTTTCATTGCAATTTTAGCTTGTTGTTCCATTAATGACTAGGAGCACAGCATAAAACTAAAAAACATTGTAAAGTAGAAAATTAGATATTGTGTCCAGACCAGGCTGTTGCTCTGTCTAATTATAGACTAGGAGGACCAGTTTATGTACTTATTTAATCTGTTTGGTTCAGTTTTTTGAAAACTCAATTTTAAAGAGGCCTATTTTCAGAAAATTGTCATTTATAATTTTATGCTTTATAAGTTATTGAAAATTATTTTCAGAGTTATAAACCAATCAGACCCTTTGTTACATTGATAACCCAAACCTAAATCCAACTTGAGCCTTGGTAGCAAAAATAAATAAATTTACTTGCTGTACTTATTTTATTTTCCATCTGTAAATTATGTTTTAAAATTAATAATATACCCACATAGGTGCAAGAGAAACATATATATATACACACACACACACACACAGTGGAGTTCAATTGCTCCCTGGTGAGCCTATGGTAGTATACTCACTTTTAATCATGACCTTAGAATCTAATCATACGATAATTAATTAATCAGTGTTTCCTTTTTATATTTAAGGGAATTGCTTCTGTTTTTTTATTAGCATTATATATTATTAGTAGGAAATGACAAAACTAGATATGTTTTTACTGAAAACAAATTAAAACCAAATTGATTAGGATTTTCTTTTATACGAATTCTTTCCCATCCGAATTCTCAAATCAAACCAATTAAAAATGAAAAAATTTAATTATTTCCAATTCCTTCGACGATATAAAGTTAAAACATAGAAGGTCCACATCTGAAAAAAAATAATAATAATAATAATAATGAAATTTCCAATCATTAACTTTGAATTGCCACGGCACATTCCACCTCCATCACCACCACCTCCATCGCCGCGGCCACCACCTACCCTGGCATTGCTGCCACCTCCACCGGCGGGGTAGGTGGAGGCGGCGGCAGTGGCGAGGTAGGTGGAGGTGGCGGCGACGGCAGCGGGGGAGATGGCAGCAATGCCAGAGTAGGTGGTGGAGATAGTTCATTCCCTTTCTCTTTCATATTTTATATATTGGGTTACATGATTTGATAATTTTATTTGTTTTTGAATTCATTTTTATACACACACATACAAATAAACATATTTTGAAAGTACAACATTCCTTTGTAATTGGATTATTTAATAAGTAATTGTTTCACAAACATAAATTAATTGCAAGGTTGAGAAAGAGACGATTGTGTGCTAATTTTTCAACTAGTATGCTTTGAGAATTCCGTGGCTGAACCAATAAGAAAGAAGGGAATTGGAAATAATTAATTTTTTAATTTTTAATTAGTATTCTTTGAAAATTTGGATGGAAGGAATTCGTAAAAAAAAAAAAAAATCCTAATCAATTTGGTTTTAATTTGTTTCCACTAAAAACATGTCTAGTTTTGTCATTTCCTATTAATAATATATAATGGTAATAAAAAAAGAAACAATTGACTTAAGGAAACATTGATTAATGAATTATCGCAGAATTAGATTCTAAGGTCAAGATTAAAAGTGAGTATACTACCATATGCTCACGAAGATTAAAAGTGAGTATACTACCCTATGCTCACGAAGGAGCAATTGAACGCCACTGTAGGTATGTGTGTGTGTATACATATATATATATATTTGCATGTGTACACTTTTTGCTTCAAAGAAGTAGACATCTCTTGGCTTCAGGTGTACAGTTGTTTCTCAAAGTTGAAAAACCCCAACTTTCCCGCAATGCCATTTTGATTGCTTAGTTTTGTCAAGATCCAAGAGGCGAAACTTCTAGTCATCAATAACACACGCACACGCGCGCGCGCACAAAAATTAGATTGAACTTACAAAACTGCCCGGGTAATTCTGGGACTAATAGCAAACCATACATCCTATACATTCTCCATATATGAACCAGAATCAAGAAACAACTCAGTTCAACTTAAATAATGAATTCTATTAACGCCGATTCCCCTGGTGATAATACTACTCCTGATACTCTAGTTCGAGAACAAACGAGTTCGATAACAAAGAACTCTCCAGGCGCCATCCTTCTGGTTCCTCCCGGAACTGGTTTGATTCTATGTAAGTCTGAATATTCATGATGAGTTTATTAATCTTATTGTCTTCTCCACCATGTTCATTTAGTGCGTTTAAGAAGTCACGCGAAATGATGTTCAGTAACTTCTTGAATTGAGATTTGTACCTTCTGTAGAGAGCAAACCCTGCCATCTGGGAAGAAAAATATTTGCTAAACTCCTAGGCATAATATTGTATGAGTTTAAAAGTGTACAAAGACAATTTTAAGTATCAACTTACTTGGAGGAACGCATGCAGTGCGATTCCAGTGTATAGATTTGCAGGAAGAGCATTCAAGAATCTTGCAAGCCATGCCCAACCTTCTTCCAGACCATGCAAATTTTGGACGCCCCGAGCTTGTGTCCGCCATAACATGTGTTTTTAAGGAACTAGAAAAAACTGAGGAATTGGCCATTGTTTATTTCATTTATTTATTTTTTTCAAGTAAGAAAATTGGCTAAATTAACTGTTTTACCTTTTTCGTAATCAATAAAATGCTTACCATACCAGCATAGTGATATGTTCTCCTCAACTTCAATTCAGAGAACTAATGAAAATCAGAATGCAGGAATGAGAGAGACAAACCTGAACAAGAGCTCCGTATAATTTCATATATGATACCATCTGCTTTAAGTAATCATATTTGCTTTCAATCTTTCCATCTTCCTCTTGAAAACCAATGGCTTTCTTGTAAGTTTCTTCTGTATCAAATACTGACTGAAGTAGCCAGAACAGTTTAAAAATCAAAACAGGAACAACGAACAACATCAATAACAATCAATATTAGTGGTTCTTATTCTGATGAGCAGAAAAGTGAAGAGAATTCTAACAGCAAAGGTCTTCCAAGGACTAAGAATGTCAATGAGGGGTTCATCACAGTTCTCTTAAAAAACAAAGCGAAATGGAGCTGCTAAACAGAATTCTACTTCCTCCCCAAATAAGATGAAGGGAAGGGAAGTAGCATGTTCTTCAGATAGAGTTACTAGGACAATGTCCAGTGGGAATCTCCCACAAACTAAAAAAAAAAAAAAAATTCCATGATAGGTTGCTGGAACATGAGGGGCCTGAATAGGCCCCAAATGCAAAAGGAAGTCATATAGTTTTAAAATGGTGTGTTTGCTCGAAACTAGATTGAAATCTAATAAATTCAGCTCTACCAAAAGGAGAATCAATCCTAGATGGGCGTGGATCAATAACTAACATCTCATCAAATGGGGAGAATCATAGTGGGGTGGAACAAACAACAAATTGGTAGAATAATACATGATGGGCTTGACAAGGTGTTAAAATCTCCTGACTGGGGAATTGAATTTCCAAATTCTAAGCTTGCATTGTCTACTGCTAGCCTCTCAGACCACTATGCACTGATCATACACTCCACAGATGAAATTGCTTCAAAGCCTAAACCCTTCAAATTTTTGAAAGTTTAGTGTATGCAGGAAGGAATTGGAGAAGTGGTTCAACAGGCTTGGGAGATTAATGTGGTAGGAAATCCTCTCCATATCCTTTCAAAAAAGCTTCAGAATGTGAAGCAAACTGTAAAAATCTGAGAATGCAGCTAAATTGGATCTGGATCGTGCCCTTTTCAATGAGGAAGTCTTAATGGCCCAGAAATCTAGAATTCACTAAAAGAGAATGATGCATGTTCTAAACTATTATATCAGGAGATTGCTCAACACAGGGCTGTGAATGCTATTACCACTCTTCAGAGTGATCAAGGCGATTGGGCTACTGATCTAGATCCAGTCAGGGACTGGTTAGTTGAATATTTAAAAAAAAATTACAGTAAACATCAGTGGAATCAGTCTTCTCAAATCCCTCTCTCCTAGAAGATGTCTCTCTAATATGGAAGCTCAAGCCCTTGAGGAGATGGTCACAAATAGAAAATATTAAAGATGTTATTTTTCAGCTTGGGGCTGATAAAAGCCCAGGTCCTGATGGATTTCCTCCCATACTTTTCCAACAATTCTGGAATATAGTTGGCAAAGAGGTAATTAGTGTTGTTCATTACTTTTTCTCCCAGTCTAGAATGAAAAAGGCATTTAATCCATATTTTATATGCCTTTTTCCTAAAAAGCATAACTGTTGCAAGGCAGTATACTTCAAGCCAATTTCTTTATGTACTACAATCTACAAAGTGAATGCTAAGCTATTATCAGACTGGGTAGTATTTTGAACTTGCTGGTGGAGAAAGAGTAGAGTGCCTTTATTAAAGGAAGTATCATACATCATGTCATCATCATAACGCCATTAGTCATTATAGTCAATAAAATGGTTAGAGGGTTAGAAGAGTTGAATCAGCTATGGCTCTGAAAATAGATTTGAAGGCGGCCTGTGATTTCAGTAGATTGGTCCTTTCTGTTTAAGTTGTTGCAAGATTATGGTTTTGGCTCGAGATGGATTGGATGGATAAAATAATACCTCAATTGTGCTTCTTAATGGCCCTCCTGCTGGCTTTTTCCAACCTCAAAAAGGTTTAAGACACGGGTGCCCTCTCTCACCCTTGCTATTTTACTGCATTATTTTCAGCTTTGGTGCAAAAGGAGGTTTCTGTGGGGAGATTTCAGTTGTGTCATACTGCCGAAAAAAACCAATTTTGAATTCTCTCACTCATTTTATGCTGATGATCTGATCTTGATAGCTATGGTAAAGCCAATTGCATTGCTTCTCTGCTCAATAAGTTTCAAAATCTATCTGGTTTGTCAGTCAATTTAGAGAAAAGTCATTGTCTTCTTCTCCAAGTCAATTCAGAAGAAAGAGAAGTTTAATGAGAATTCTAAACATGAAATTGCGAAGAATTCCTATGAATTATTTGGGGCTACCTCTGGTGGATAGGGAGTTGAAGCATGCTGATTTGTAAACCATTATTAGACAAAGTCGCTGCTAAAATTCACAGTTGGTCATCTGTTAGCTTAACTTTGGCTGGTAGAATAGAGTTGGTTAAAACAGTTATTTCATCTTTTTTCTACTATTGGTGCAAGGCATTTAAAATTCCTGCTTTCACAAGCTCCTCAATTGATAGTTAAAATCTTTTGTTTGGGGTAGTAGAGAATCTGCTAAGAAATTACTCTTGTTGAAATGGAGCTCTGTGACTTGCCTAAAGAGGAGGTGGCTTTGGTATTCAGGGAGATTGATTCAAATTCTAAAGGAACTTATTCTGGGAATTTGTTCAGAAAAGGAAAAGGAGGTGGGTTAGTGGTTTATGGCTCTGAATGCTGCTTTTACTTCTATTTGTTGTTGTTCAAAGCAACCTAAATTCTCTCCATTCTCCAATCATTTACTGGAAGCTAGAGAAACCATTATTGGTGGATCTAATTTCAAAATTGGTAATGGCCAAAATGTGAGGCTCTTCATTGATCCGTTGTGGAATAGGAAATCCTTGCTGCAAACTTTTGGGAGCAGACTCGACAGAGATTTGGATTTGCATAAATCTGCTTGGTTGAGTGCTGTGATACAGAATGGTAATTGGTGTAGAACTACTCATATGTCTTCTGAGGTTAATCATATTTGGAATAGTATTGCATATACCCCTCTCTATTCAGATGATGATCAGCTGGTGTGGAAACATTGGCAATTCAGCTTGAAATCTTTATGGTAGAACAGTAGACATGCCAATGAGAAGAAGAAATGGTATAAACTGATGTGGAATAGAGAGAGACCAGCAGCTTGCTTCACTGCTTGTTTGATTGTTGTTAACAAAGTTCCTCCCCTGATGAATCTTCAAGAGAGAGATATCACTTTAACTGCCATCTGTCATAACTGTATGAATGATGAAGACTTTATCGATCATTTATTTTTCAAGTGTGGTTTTGCTCAAGAACTGTGGGGTTGGATCTTTGAAGCCTTTAACTGGAGATGGGGGCAATTTAGTTCTTTTGATCAATTATTCCAATGGTTTATAAATCAATTCAAGCATGACAATTAGAAAAATACTTTGTACAGGCAAATTTTTACTACTTCGTAATGAACCATTTGGAGAATTAGAAAACAGAATATGTTTATTCCAGCTCCTTGTAATGCTGCTCATTGTGCCAGAGTGATTATATGGGAGGTATTGGACCAGAGGGCCCTGAATATTTTTGACATTCAAAATTTATCCCACGACTGATATGTTTTGGTTTGAGTCTTTGTTCTTGCTGTACTGGTGGGAGTTGGAAGCTATTTGGAAGAATCAATTGTCTGCTAATGAGGGAGCCTTCTACTATTTGGTTTATGCTTGATTCCTTGCAAGTGCAGTTTGAGTAATACTCATGTGATAAAAGCTGTGAGTTTGGCTCTATGGTTTAGGGAGGCGGAGTGGGATTGGAACGTCTTTTCTCTGTTATCAGTTTTCAGACAAATTGTCTTTGCTAGTTGGTGGTTAATTGGGGTTGGTCCATACCTTAGTATTTTGGGGGTATGCCCCCCTATATTTTTTGTATAGTTTTTCATTTTTAATAAAACTCATTTGTAAGTGGGTGTGTGGGTGGGTGGGGGGAAAGGGACATCAATAACAATAAAAATTAACTACAGCAGCAGCATCAATTAACAAAAGCAACAATATAAGTGGCATGAAAACAGAAGGGCCCTTGAAGAGAGAGAGAAAAAAGAGTTCAACTTTTGACACTTCCAATCTTTAATGCTCCATAGCTAATTCATGCTTAAAACAGCGAAAAGGGAAATAGGGAAAAAGCAGGCAGCAACTTTTACTACTTGGATGACATCCCTTACAAAGCTACAGTAAATAATAGGTTGAGCTGAAATTGAGTACCTCTGAGTTATTTATGTACTTTGGAACGGTAAAGATGCAAACTCTATTCAACTCAGCGAGCAAAAGATCCATAGTAAGTGGGACCTAGGTTCATAAAAGTAATTGTAAGAAATCAGCACTTTTCAAATAATCAGCAGTCTAATACATTTAATTTGATAAATGCAGAATGACGGGAAATTGGGAAGGCTTAGCCTCACCAAATTAATGATAAGGGTTAAGTGCACAAAACACCCCTCTAGCACCAATATATAGCACAAATACCCCCTGATGTTCCCTAAAGAAACCAATCCCCCCCCCCCCCCCCCCCCCCCAACACCAAAAGAAAAGAAAAAGTTTATAAAGTATTTAAATAGGGACCTCCTGACACCTTAACCTCGTACAAAGACTTAAATACCCTTACAGTTTAAAAAAATATCCAAATGGGAAATGACAAAATTGGACATTGCTGGCAAAACGACCCTCCTCATTTGTGACTGCCAACGAAGCTTATGCCAAAACAAGAGCTAAAAAAGCCTGAAAATACCCAAAAAATGGTTCTGGGAAGAGAGCGTGTGTAAGGAAACAAACTATACACCACAAAAGCGAACTTTGGAGGCAAAACAAGATATATATCTATAGACTGCAGAGTAAATGATGATCCAAGACTCAGTTTCAGCATTGATCACAAAAGGGTTTGCAGATTAAGCATTTGACGGGGAAATTTAGATGGCAATGAGAGGATTGAAGTTGATGGGGTTCACATACAGGTCCCATGGGATGTATATAACTGGTTGTTTGAGGATGCGAACCAAGATGGCTATGCTCTGTTCATATTCAGGTTTGAGTAAACAGGGTTTTATGAAGATTTTGAAGATGATTATGAGTTGACCCATTTGAAAGAGAAGAATGGGATGGCTTTGTAGTCACATTAATCGTGTGGGTTTGGGTTTGAGAAGAAGAAGATGACGAAGGGGTTGTCGAGGAATTAAGGAGCTCGGCATCGTTGTTGTCAGCGGCTTCCGCAAGGTGAAGCTCCGTCATGGAAAGGGCAAGTATGGAAGAGAATGAGCTCAAGGGCCATTCTGGTTTTTCTTTGCTGGTTTATGCTTGGAAGAGTTGAAGATGATGTACACACGTAAATATGCATATCAAAATTTGATAAAGGCATATGCATATGTTCATGAACATACAGTAATAAACATATTTGCGTACATATGCATGTCAAAATTTGACAATTGAAAATACAGGCATGTTAAAAGGGCAAAAACGGAATAAGAAAAATACTGTCACATGTCACTGAAAAGCAGTTTGAGGAGGGTGGGGGGTTTGTTACCTTTTTGCAAAAGTAGGGTCTAACACCGCACAAATTTAAAAGTAGGAGGTCATCATGCACAAACACTATACTACAAGGGTGTTTTGTGCACTTAACCCTAATGATAATAATACCTAGACAATCACAACAATGAATCATGGAACATGCGAAATGAACTAAAAAGTATTTCTATTTGATTTCTGAAACATCTTTAACTTATGGATTTTAAATAGTTGAAGATATGAAATTCAAACAAAAATCTGTCACAGCCATAATTCCTCCTATATAATTACAATAAATTTATATCTCACAGTATCTTCATAACCATGCCATCATACTTAAGCTAACTGCAAAACCAACCTCATCAACCTGACTAGACCATATTCCGGGTTCGGCTTGTACAGGGAGGTGCATGAGCCAGAATGTTTCAATCCTCAGATAGCCTCTGATCGAACTTTCTCCGGTAACTACCCGAATGATAGAAATAAAGTTTGTAGCAACCAAGAATCAAATATAGTTGGTATACCTTCAACCTGTCCTATTTAGACCCCAAAAGCTTTGTAGTTAGTACCAAACTCTTTTTACCTACACATAGGGAGTTAAGGTTCATCCATGACATGTAGGATGCATGTTGTGGTGGGGAGGTGGAGAGAGAGATCAAACATTGGATTAGAGACATCATATTTCATTTTTTTGACTTTTCGGATTAGGGAAACATCAAAGTTTGTATGATATTTCTCCAAGGCACTTCATGAATTGAAGATACTCAACCACAACATCATTAATCTAAAAGTATTTCCTCAGGAGTGTTTAATCGTGAATATGAACGGGTTGCTCCATAAGAGAATCATTGCTGACAATCAGTGCAGTGTAGTTTTTGGGATTAGTGCATCCTAGACTCATGGTGACAAGGGCTCATTGGATCAACTGGAACCAGTAATGAACATGGTACCGGGATGCTGGCACCAGAGACTGAGCTCTTTAGGAAGAATGGTAAAAATAGATTGCTTCAAGTGTTAAATAATTTATCTTTGTTTCGAACTTGATAAATCGGATTATTAGTTCTGTCATTGTCCTGTGACTTTCTACATTAAGGATTTTTTCAGATAAACTTGTGTGCCTTTTTTTGTGGTGTAGCCATATGATTGCTTGAATATTTACTTGATTGATTGGTTGATATCGGATTAATCTTTCAGTTCATGTGATTAATAATTATTTGGGAATATCAAACCAATTCAAAATCTATTCACTGTGATTCAATAATGCATATCTATCATCTGAGAGACTCTGTCTAACACAAAAATGTATGCTCCTACTGCCCTGATTAAGATCAGGGTGAGGCCCATAAACAGGTAAAAACACTGTGAGTGTTTTATTCTTTGATTCTTTTATATTGTTATTATAATTTTTAATCTGCATAAGCTATTAAACAACTAAAAGTAGGGGCAAGCAATAGCAAGAAACAAAACATGCATTACCTGTGCACTAACAAGAGCAATGACATGACCATAAGCAAAAATACTTTCGATGGAGTTCATGCAACGTGCGACAACCTGTAATATCAAAACTGGAACACCATCAGTACATTGATTTATTTACTTCTTAAACTCTTTCTTCCTTTATTTTCTTTTCTTGATAAGCAAGCAAGAAACTAGAATTTTACATACGCACAACAGAAGCAACAAGAGTCTATGACTTCTAAAGGGAGAGTTAAAATTGTGAGAGGTATACAGCTTCACAGTAGAGACTACATATAGTTACAGATAAAAACAGAGGAAAACAAAAGAAAATTTATACCAATGTAATTATTTATGGTTTGACTTGTATATACATTAAACAAAATGTGGGAATCCAAGATACAAAAGTTGAATAACCCAAGATTTCAAATGGAGGAAAAAGAAAACAAGAGAGATAGAGAGAGACGCCCACCATTTTCCACCTACAGAATATCTAAGCATGGCATTTAAACATATTGAATAATTCAAAATCTTGTTCTCTTTTCTTTTCATCATATTTCCAGCAAACAAATCAATAGATAAGGAAAGGAAGTAGGGAAGGAACAAAAAACTATCAACTATAAACAATGGATATTACCTTCTCCGCGAACATTGCAACACTGGTAGTCTGAGGCCAAGGTGAATCTATGAAGAAGATCTTAATTAATTCATCTGTTTTTGCTCTGCAAAAATTGAATTGATAAGTAACAACCAATTTGTTGATCAAATAATAGCGTTGAAGTATTCCAACCCAAGTTGGAAAAATTGAAGAGGAAAACTTTAGGAGATGCAACAAAAAAAAAATGCAAATTCACACCAACCACCAACCAACTTAGAATTAACCAGCTGAAAATGTTTGTTCTTTCAATTCCAATTCATCCTGGGAATGACTCTCTGGTTGGAACCATGGCACTTTCTCCTTTAAAAGTGTCTGGGAGCAATGTCGAATTAAGCTGGCTACTGTCAACTGGTTCAAGGTGTGTTGGAGTGGATGCAGGCCGGGTTTCTATAACTTGCTGCCTTGCTATTCAAAATAGATTGCTCCCTTTAAAGAATTTGAGGATTAGAGGTATACAGAATATGTCACAATTGTTGGGCTGCCTGTGATGATTTGGATCATTTGTTTGTGATGTGCCCATTTGCAGTGGCTATTTGGACCTGGTTCTCTGATTTACTGGACTGGAACTTGCAGCAGTATTCTTCAATTCACCGCCTGCTTAAATGGTTTGTGGATAGGAGAATTACTCACAGAGCACAGAAACAATATGACAATTTGGTATGAGAGGAACTCAAACTGCACCAACATAAATCTAGAGATCATGTGGAGGTTGCTAGATACATATGGTGGGAGGTTTTAGAATCAGCTAACATGTCCTTGCTTGATGCAGTGTAATATGCTGGTATCTGTTTCATTGACTGTGTTTGGGTCCTTTACCGTGGTTTAGGATCTATCTTTAGTTTGTTCTTTCTTCAAGGTCTTGGCCTTGTTTGTTTTTCCTTGCTGGAACTGTGATCTATTTGTTCTCCTTCGAGGGTATGCCCTTGTTTATCCTCATTTACAATATTGTCTATATTTATAAATTTTCCACGTTACCCAGGAAAAAAAAAAAAAAAAACATTGAAATGGAGCCTATAGTAACATTTCTGGACAGCATGATCACATAAACTGATCTCAGATATAGTAGCAAACTATGTAGCGCAAACAGAACAAGGCATTTGAACAGAATAAGAATGCTTCTCAAACTTAAAGTAAAACATTAGATAAGGTTGCAGAAGTGGGATGTCCCATAATCAAAGATACTTGAACAGGCTATAATTTAAAAGAAGGTATATGCCTCACCTAACATTTCCCTTTGACCCACTTATTGTTCTGATCTGTCTAGCTATTTGCTTCCCATGACTGCGATAATCCTGACAGAAATGACAACTTGTGACTAATTGATCGACATACATAATTCAGCTTACTGAAAAAAGCTTCAGGTTGAATATGGTTACCGGGTTTAAATAATATAAATAAGATTAGAATGTGAAACTGACTAAAATTCTATGACATAAATATAACTAGTATATAGATAGATCATAAGTTCATAACCACCACCCCCATCTAACTAACACGCCAGTTTAGTACTTTCAGAGAAGACGTGCTACTCAAAATTAAAGATAGTTGGAAAAAAAAATGATCAAAATAACATTAACATTTATATTATGCATCAAAAAAAAATAACCTAAACAATCTGAAGCTACAAAGTACAAAGCATGTGTCTTTCATGCAGTCAGTTACCTTATTAGAATCCAATCCCAGTGCCTTCTTTTGTGCAGCTACTTCATTGTAGATCTGTAGTCTTCTTCCCTCTAACTCTAAAGCACGTGCTGCACCCTGGAATACATTTCCTGTCATTAAATTGGCCAGATGATGATGATAAAGTCAAGAAACCAGAATTGTACACAGTTCTCTTATGGTTCCCCAATCTATCTGAGTAACACTAATGCGTTTGACAATCCATTAAGATGCCAGTATTTAATGAAATATAGCTAACATAAAAATATAGTGAACTGTTTTTAGTTGACATTTTGCATTACTTCAGCTGTTTTATTTGAATTGTGCCCTGTTTGTGCTGCAGTAGCTTCTAATGAAGCGAATATTCCTCTAGAGCTGTCAATAAAAGATTGTGGTTGTTGGAAGGTAAAATAGTTTTTGCAAATGCAATATCTAAAGCATATTTAATAAATATACTCCTTCATAAATACATATTTTTCCCACAAATTTTACCTTTACTAGCAATGTAAATTTGAGCTTTAGCCAAAAGCTTCGAGGTGCCAAAAATCTCAACTTACCAAAAAGTTCTTTTTTATATCACCAAACACAAGTAAAAATGTTTTTCCAAACTAGTAGCAATTTTAGCCTACCAAACTGTAATGCTGAACAGGCATCTAGTCTACAATGACAAGAGGAAGGCCAAAAAGGCAAAGCATCAGGCAAACAGAGAAATCGTGATGACTTAAGCTTAACAACCTAAACCAGTTAATATAAGTGAGGGAAGGTTATCATAGTTGATCCTATTCAGGAATTTGACCATGTAAAGAGATAATTATCAATTGATTCCAATAAGATTTTATAAATGCTCTGAGACCATAAATTTTCTTGGCTTCAGTTGCAAGTAGCAATTTATTGATTTCCTTAAATTTTGGAAAAAGGGAAGGAAAAATGATGTTTTCCTTCAATTTTTGGAAACATAAATACCTGCTGATGTTGCTTTCTGCATTATATTGGATCCAGATCCCGTTTGGAGCCCATCAGCTTCTTTTAGAGGCACTAGAGCAGCACTAGCCCTTCTTAAATTTTCAGTAACAACCTTTTCTGCAGCTTCTTTTGCTGCTCTCCTTTCAGCTTCCAAAGCTGCTGCTTTGGCTTCTTCAGCTCTCTTCTTTTCAGCCTCAAGTCTTGCCTGCATCCAACAAATAAGAACTTAATAAAAGCATCCTAGTGTATCATCATAGTAGTTTTCTTGAAATTCCAGCAAGTATATATGCCAGGACTAGAATAAAGTGGCCAAAAGAAGGTATTAAGTTCCAGCAAGCCAATTATAGGTGGGTACAGTGGAATCGATCTAATAACTGACATATCAATCAATATCACAAAGCAACGTAGAAGCATGAGCACATATAGTATGAATGCATTGCAGCTAGCAAAGGCAGGAAAAAATTGCTATGCCCAATTTTCTTCCACCCTATCTCATGAATATAAAGAGATTATGATATTGTCTGTTCTCAATCATCCTTGCAAAAATCTAGTATTCAATTGTGAGGAAGAAATTCTTGGCAATAGCTTCCCATTCTCTACTAATCCATGATGCTGTCTGATACAAAAATGCTGTTTTCCAATGCCATGGAGGAAACAGAAATCATTGGATCGCTGTTTGGAAGTTCAGAAGTTCGGATGGTGGAAAATATTGTCAACCAGTTGCTAAACAAAGCGATTAATGCTACAGATGTCATGGGATGCACTTAGCATATTACATCCCAAACAAAAAAAATCAATGAAATTGAACCCAAGTTAACATACCTCTGCTTCTGCTCTGATTTTTTCTCGTCGCAGTTTCTCTTCCTGAAGAGCCTTTTCCTTCCTTTTTGACTCTTCGAAAGCTGCATCATCTCTTATTCTACTTTCTTCGATCTGGGATCTGTGTTCATGGACCCTCTGAATAGCAGTCAAGTGATTATCAAGTGCTTCTGCATTACAGTAATTCAAGAAGTGTCAATAAGACATTTTTAGAATTCTAGTGAGAACAAAAAACTGAATTATAGTATCAAATATCATCATGGTTTAACTTTTATATTTGGTCAACGGAAAAATAAAATGAAATTTATCCATCAAAATCATATATAAATTAATCAAATGACATAATCTTCAAGAATCCATATGAATTATTAATAACTGATTTTTGGGCATGATTCCCTAATTCTGTCCAACTCACCCAGCACAAAGATTATGATTTGGATCTTTCCTAGGGCTGGGTTCCGAAGGATGAGCCGGAAAATTCAATATCGTATTGTCCCCTTGAAAAGGCAGAGCATATTAGTGAGGGGAAAGAAGACGAGAAAGTTGTTCTGCAGGTGCTCCAGCAGATTTGTGAAGAATAAAACAGATCCAGAAGCAGCGGGAAGTTGGGGAACCACAACGGCTGATGTTGTGAGTGTAAGAGAATCTGCAACTATTGGAGGGGAAAGCTAATTTGTTGTATCAGTTTGAATTAAGGATAGGGAGGAAAAGCTTCTGCCATTGCACACCAAGCTTGGGCACAGACAGCAAAGACGAGGGAAGCCAACCGCCATTAGTGTTGCACCAGCAAACTCTAATGCAACAACACCCTCACTCACTCTTGAGCTAAAGCCTATTAAAAAGCTTGTCGAACCCATCTTGCCTAACGAGGAGGAAGGCACTGAAATGGAAAGGAAGGTTGCATCTGTTTTAGTTTGGACTGTTGCCCAATCTGCAAGTATGAAGATCAAGAAGTGTGAAGCTACAAGGAGGACAAGGAAAATCAAGACCAAACCGGTCGGGTGAGATGCATCAGAGCAAGATTTAAGCTCAGCCATTGCAGAAATCATTCTGATTGTGAGGGCAATAAAATGAAACTACACTGAAAAGGTGTGTGGAGCGGAGAGAACTCCTGCGCAATCAACAATCTACCAGATGGATTGCTGGATCAGGTGGATGATGTGACAACTAAAGCAGCCCACTTGAGCTAAGCAAAAAATAACAGGTTTATTCTGGATCCGGATGTCAGCGGTCATCTCCATTTGAGCTCCAATGGAGAGGACAAAGGTAATTAGAGTGGTCTATTCCACAATAAGCTCACAGGTATTTTAAAGAATTGAGAATGGAAATCTCAAGCATACACAACCCTCTTCTAAGAATGACACTCACTTGGTTTCTTTTTTCTTTCAAAGATCATAAAGAAAGGGAGGAATTATAAAAGGAATGGATTATTGAGCACTTACCAAAGGGAAAGTACTACACACATGCTTATCAAGAATTGTGCCAAGAGAATGTTGGGACAAATATCTAGGAATTTTTTTTTTTTCCTTTTCAAGTTAAAGTGCCCAATATAAAGAAATGGTCCTTGAGAATGGTTCCGGGCATGTAGCTAGGAAACTAATTGTTTTAAGGCCTTGACCTAGGCTTAAGCTCGTGACGGAAAAGTTAAAGTTTCAATGTTCCTTTGGTATTGGACATGAAAAGGTTTTGCCCACATTTCTAGTACAGTAGTACTACTTGGAAGGGGTGACAGACACTACTGAATCAATGTGTTCAAGTTCAATATATAATGATATCTACTAAATTACAGACAAGTGCCTTTAGAAAAGCATACATTTCCCTATTCTATTATTTCTGTAACATCAGGCAAAAAGATCAGAATTTCAATCCTTTTCCTTACCTCCCACCCGTCGGGGAAAAAGGTGAATCTGTTTTAGATTTGCATGGTTATTGATCGGCCTGCTCTCAAAAATCCTAAACAAACTGATTTTTTGAGTTTTAGGGTCTCTCTCAACTAGTTAAAATAACCAACATAAAAAGTCTTCAAGAGGTAAGCAACCTACACAGAAGAAGGATCGAGACACGCAATATTGTGTTTTACAATAACCTTTGAAATTGCAACTCTTCTCAGAAACAGAAACAACATTCGGGCAGACCAGCTAATCAGTATCACAGACACTATGAAGTAACTCGGAAACATTTAAACACGACAACTAACTAGCAAAGATGACACTGAAACAACCAAACAGAATGAACGGGCAATAAAAACGTTGGTGACAAAACTAAAAGTTCCCAAAGACTTGTTTCAACTATCTAGGATGTTGTATGAAGAACCAGAATACGAAATCTTACATCTTGCGTTGATACTGCATATTAAGTTTCCTATCCATGTCGCGCCTTGCTTCAGTATGTTTCTCAACTCGAGCAAGTGCAGAGGTAAACTTCTCGTTTTCACTCATCAGATCTGTCTCCAATGCTAAAATTTGGTTTCTAATTTCCTCCTGTTAATCAAGATAATCATGACAGATTAAATATATGCACTTATCAGAGAAGATTGAATCGAACATATAAGTGCATCTTTTTCCATGTGGAGGGAAGGAGTGAGAAATAGAGAGGGAGAGAGTTATGGATGCATATTAATCCCAAGTATGGCAAAGCTAGATGGAATTCATTTCTAAGCACTGCATGAAAAAGTTTTAAAATAGTACATACAAAAGGAGACAAGTTTGAAAGGGCCATGCTATCAGCATGTAAAGTAACATATAATGTATACAAGTTCAAGTTTCAATTTGCATGCAACAATATAAAGTATGGTTGCCACATACAACTCTGAGGATAGGATAACAACTTTGCCAAAAAGTAAATATGATATAGTTCTGTGTTTAAGAAAAAACGAACTGCCCCATAAATTTTAGAACTGGTTAGAGGGATATGGGGAAAAGAACATGGTCTATCTAGGCTATTATAAGCATAACTCTATACGACAGAGGGCTCTTCACCTCATGAACATGCTAATCACGTGTTAGGTTTCACAAGTTTAAAGAAGAAACAAATTTTCTGTCAATTTCATTCATGAGAAACAATGTGGTGTCCTGATTCAGGCTATACCGTTTCAGCACAAAGAAACAGGGTAATGTTCACAATAAAAGTGTAGTGACCAATTCTGAAGTCCAAAACCGAAGCATGCAAGTGTCCATGAGTTAGCTAGTAACGAAATAACACTGGATTTATAAAAATAAAAATAAAATAAATAATAAATAAATAAAATGGACTATTATTGCACTAATGACCAAGGGCATGAAATTTCAAAATTCTGTGTGAACAGATAATGCTAAAGAGATTTCATATTAATCACGAAAAGGTTCACTGAAGCCCTCTCCTAAACCAAGAGTGATCACACAGACACCTTCTTATGTATCATGCTCCCATCAAAGCTTGAGGTTTTGCATCATTATTTGATACACAAAGTCTGTTTTTGTTCAGATTATGAAGCTCTCCAATTTCCTAATGCCTAAAAGATTATCATATCTTGGCATGCCAAGTGCCAAAAAGATAATCATAGAGCGGAGAACTTCATGGGAGAGTCAGGTCCTGGTGGGAGGAGGCTTCGGTGTTTAGCACTTCGAGTTTTGTTTTAGCTGGGAAGCTTCGGTTGTTGAAGACTGAGCTTCAGAGACGGAACAAGGAGGATTTTGGGAATTTGGAATGGAGGAAAAACAGGGCTCTTTCTGAGATTGCAGAGATAGATCGGCTGGAAGTTGGGTGGTATTGATAAGGCTCATAGTGTTCGGAAAGCAAAGTGTCAGGCGGATACTGCTGAGATTGCTACTCTGGAGGAGATTTCGTGGCGTCAGAAATCTAGGGCCTTATGGCTTAAGGAGGGTGATTGAAATACGAGGTTTTGTCATAGGCTTGCCAATGCCCACAGGAGGGGTAATCATATTGGGAAAATCCGTATTGATTGGGTGGGGTTGCGTAGGGAGGAGGAAGTGTGCAGGGGGATTGCCTCCTACTACCAGAGACTATACTCTGAGAAATTCAGATGGAGGCCTTGCCTTTAACTCAATTTCTGAGATGGAGAGGGATGGACTTGAGATTATTTTTTCAGAGGAGGAAGTCTTGAAGGCGCTGAAGATATGTAATGGTGATAAAGCTCCCGGCCCGGATGGTTTCACTATGAGGTTCGTGTTGGAGAGTTGGGCTGTGGTTAGGGATGAGGTGATGGGCACTTTTCATGAGTTTCAATCACATGGGCGGTTTGAGAAGTCGTTGAATGCTTTTTTTATTTTGCCCTTATTCCTAAGAAGGGTGGAGTGTCTGATGTGAAGGACTTTAGACCTATTAGTTTAGTGGGGTGCATTTATAAGCTTATAGCTAAAGTCCTCACCCTGAGATTGAGGGATGTCTTGGACGGAGTTATTTCAGAGTCCTAGAACGTATTTATTGGCGGCCGGCAGATTCTGGATTCTACTCTCATTGCTAGTGAGTGCATGGACTCCAGGTTGAGTAGTGGTGTCCTCGGTGTTCTCTAAAAGCTGGATATTGAGAAAGCTTATGACCATGTTAGCTAGAGCTTCTTACTTTTATCTGTTGGAGAGGTTGGGTTTCGGGGTGAGATGGAGGAGGTGGATCAAGGCATGCATTTCATCGGTGAGATTTTCGGTTTTGGTTAATGGGGTTCCGACTTATTTTTTTCACAGCTCTCGGGGTCTAACATAGTTGTTAAAGGCGCACCAGGCGTGCGCCTCGGGCGCCAGGCGCATCAAGGCGCAGCTTCTGCGCCTTGAGTATGGTGAGGTGAGCCTTTGTCTTCTTCCTTTAATTTTTGCCTTTTAAACATTTGTTGCATTCAGAATTTCAGACTTCACATTCTTCTTGTTATATAATAAATTCTGATGTGATAAAGTAACTTTAAATGGTGGGTGGTCCCTACCACTACCACCAAAAAAGTTAAAAGACCAGTCCAAATAAAAAAGTAAAGGAACCCAAATTAGGCTCAATTGTTGTACGAAATATTTAGGAGCTATGGGTCTCTTTGTCAAGCTCTCTCACTCTCCGGCAAGCTCTCTCTCCGACGAGCTCTCTCTCCGGCAACCAGGTAACCATTTATTCTCTTCTTCTTCTTCTCTGTTCTTTTTTTTTTTTTTTTTTTTTCTGATTTCTTTTTTCCTTCTTCTTCCTTCTTCTCTACTTTTTTTTTTCCTTCTTTCTTCTCTGTTTTTCTTTTTTCCATTCTATTCTTGCTTTTCTCTCTGTCTGTCTTCTTCTCTGGCAACCAGCGTCTTCTTCTTATTCTTTTCTATTTTTTTTTTTATTTTGTCTTTCTTCTCTGTTTTTTTTTTTTTCCCCTTCTTTCTTCTCTGTTTTTTCCCCCCTTCTTTCTTCTCTGTTTTTTTTTGTTCCTTCTTCTTCTCTGTTTTTCTTTTTTCCTTCTGCTCTTGCTTTTCTCTTTTTTAATTATTTATTTATTTTAGCTATAAATTATCAACATGCCTGTTAGTTTTTCGTCTGGAGTGTGGCCTGTGAAATGCTGTTATTTTAGGCTTTTTAGCTATGAAAATGCATGCCTGTAACGCCTGTTATTGTTTCCTAATGTTGCTATTTTAGCTATGAAAATGCATGCCTGCTATTGTTTCCTTTGGACTGTGGCCTGTGAATGCCTTTTTTTTTTTCTTTTTTCTTTGCTGTGAAAATGCCTGTTGCACTTTTTAAGTGATGATCAAGATGGTGCTATGTTTATTGATGATGAGGATGATCCGATGATATTTAGATCCTTTGGTGGTCTTCTTAGGAGTTAGGATGAACTGATGAAGTGAACATTTCTATGTTTGTTTTACTTTTTATTTAATTAGTTGATTTTTGCATCTTTATGTTAGTAATTACTATGTTACTATGTTGACTATTGAACGCCAATATTTGGTTTAGTTTGCTTTTGCATCTTTATGTTAGCATGTTGATTATTAAACTTATGTATTTGGTTTACATGATTTTGCATCTTTATTGGATGTTATTATTTTTTTTTTTTTCTCAACTTGCGCATCGCTTCAGTCGGATGCGTGCCTCGCCTTGCCCCTTGCGCCTCAGGCTCCAAGGCACCTTTGCGCCTCAGTGCGCCTTGAGCCTTTAACAACTATGGGGTCTAAGATAGGGGGATCCTCTTTTTCCTTTTCTGTTCTTCATTGTTATGGAAGCGCTTAGTAGACTGATGAGGAGGGCCGTGGATTTGGGGTTTATTAGGGGATTCAGGGTGGGCAGAGATGTGGATCATCAGCTTGAGATTTCTCATTTACTGTTTGCAGATGACACTCTGGTCTTCTGTGACCCCAATATGTTGCAGCTACAATACTTGAGGTGTGTTCTGGTTTGATTTCAGGTAGCCTCTGGCCTAAAGTAAATGTGGGAAAGAGCACTTTAGTTCCTCTGGGGGAGGTTTATGACGTTAATTCTCTTTCATTGGTGCTTGTATGTGGGGTTAGCTACTTTCCTATTTCTTATTTGGGGTTGCCGTTGGGTTCTCCTTTGAGGACGGTGGGGAGTTGGCATCCTGTGATTGAGAGGTTTGAGAGAAGATTGGCCGGGTGGAAGAAGCAGTATCTTTCGAAGGGTGGGAAGGTCACCCCTATGAAGAGCACGTTGTCGAGTCTTCCTACGTACTTTCTTTCTCTTTTTCGGTCCCGTTCTATGTGGCTGAGAGGATTGAGAGGATTCAGCGGAATTTTCTATGGGGCGGCTTGGGGGAGGAGTTTAAGTACCATTTTGTTCGTTGGGAGTAGGTGTGCAGTCCGTTTCAACTGGGTGGTTTGGGCATTAGGAGGCTGCCCCCATTCAATAGGGCCCTCCTTAGCAAGTGGTTGTGGAGATTTGAGAGGGTTATTTCGTGTCGCTATGGAGAGGAGAGAAGAGGATGGTGCTCTCGTGTGTCTAGATTTGTCGGAGGAATCGGTGTTTGAAAATTTATATGAATTTTCAAAACACATCAGATTTAAAGTTCGGTATGGTTCGGGTACTCGATTTTGGGAGGACTTATGGTGTGGTAATCATTCTTTGGCTTGTCTTTTTCCTAGGCTTTTCAAGATTGCCTTTGATAGACATGTTTTGGTTGCCGACTGTTATCAGCTTGATAGCAGCCGGTTTTCTTGGGATGTGCGCTTTCATCGAAATTTCCAAGACTGGGAACTAGATGACATTTCTTGGTTACTGGATCTATTATATAGACAAGAGGTGGATTGTGGATGTTCTGACTCCCTTTTCTAGGTGCCCTCTCCCCAGGGTAGATTTGATGTACGTTCCGCATTTTGTTGCCTTTCCGAATTCTCAGGGGTTGATTTTCCTTGGAAGACAGTTTTGTGCTCGAAGGCTCCTGTCAAAGTGGCCTTTTTCGTTTGGACCGCAATTTGGGATAAGATTTTGACGCTTGAGAAAGAGAAGGCAGGTTACTATCAATTGGTGTTGCATGTGTAACAAGGATGGTGAGTCGGTGGATCATCTCCTTTTGCATTACCCCGTGGCTCATGATTGTTGGAGTCTTATTTTTGGCTTGTTTGGCGTTCAGTGAGTTATGCCACGGTCTTCGAGAGGATTGATCGACGCTTGGAAAGGTTGTTCTATGGGATCCCATGCCCATGATGGTTGGAGGGTGGCACCTTTTTGCGTTTGGAAGGAGCCCAATACAAGATTTTTTGATGGGGAGGAATCTTCCATTGGGGTTCTAAAATTTAGTATTATTAGTTTTCTTTTTTGTTAGGCTAAGTGGACATATTGTAATTTAATAGAGGAGATAGTTGACTTTTTGGGTTCCGTTGGTCCGTAGGACCTTTTCTTTTGGGCTCCGGCCTTTGTATTGTCTACAGGATGCGTTCCCCCTTTGAACACTCTCTAATACATCTTACTTATCAAAAAAATAAATAAATTTAGTAAATAAATAAATGCACATACACTTTCAAATTTAGTCAATTTCAAAGCTTTCAATAGTGATATTATTATAACAAAATAATCAAAAAGCCACGCACCATAATACTAATGTGATACTCATGAGTTAGCTCTAAGAATGCTCCTTCTACTAGTCCCACTTTGTCCATCAAATGATATTGGGTTTCAATAGCTGACTCATCTCCAGAATCATCGCTGTCACTGAAGAACAAACACGGTCATCCATCATCAGACTAACAGTTTGCATATCTTAAAATCATTATTTTGTTATCATGAACAATATAAGGAGGAAAAAAATCACGTGCTCAAATGATAAGAGTAACCTCAAAAGTCGCAATACAAAATTGATTCCCTCAAACAGCTCACATTATATACTTTTAGTGCCTCTGTGAGATTCATACACAATATCTATATTCATAAATTAGAAACTAGCAAGGGCCACTCTGATCTTCGGATCCCTAATTGGACTCTCTAATTTTTCAAAATTATTCAAAATATCGATGAGGCTCCTTTGAAGCTCTAAACCTCCTATGTAAGCTCGCAGCTTTAAGCCCTCAGCTTGTCTTCAAACTCGTAAAACTTTGATCCCCTATTTCAATGTAAATCCTATACTATTACCCTCTAAATTCAAATGGAACTTCCTGCTTCTACAGTGTTACCTTCCCCATGTATAGTTAATGTTACTGCTAGTTTCTTTTAATTGTTAATTTGCTATTTTAATTATACATGAAGTTTGACAATAGGAATGTAATATGAATGTGCACCTTATGTAAAGTTTATCACAAGCAAATCGTCTACCCAAAACCAGAAATTGCTCACGAGCCTCCCCATCACCATCACCATCACCATCACTTCCTACATCCTCAATCTCATAGTCTGATATATGGATTGCGAAAGTCCTCGGACTTCTTCTGATATCCTTCATAATTGAAAGTTCTCTGAAGAGAGGTGACCAAAATGTTAAATACACATTAACCAACATAAAAGTACTTGCAGATTTTTATTGAGCAAAAATTTCAGGGAATCCCATTTTGCGAGAGAAGTAAAAATGATTATATAATCGCAATACCGCGATCTGAATTTGGTAAATGGCACAGGAAACATCGAAGATGTATCGAGCTTCTTTTCAATTGGACTGAGCTCTATCAAAAGACTATCAAAAGTCCAGTCAGGCTGTGGATCAACAGCGAGTCCATCAATACTTTTACTTTGGGGCAATCGAAATTCAGAAACCTAAATTAGAGTGTTGCAACAATGTTTAGGCTCTGTTTGCTTCCATAGAAAAGTTTTTCCAATTTTTTAACGTAAACTATAAATTTCATGCGTAAAAAAACAGATTACCAAGAGTAAATCATCCAAAAAAAAATTCAAATTTAAGTTTGGATTCCAATTTTTTATTTTCCAGGAACTATTTTCCGTTGAAACAAGCAGAGAAAAAGACAGTAAGAGAAAATCTAAACTTACATTATTAAAACTTTAAGCAACTCTTCAATGTAGATGCTTCCTCTTCAGATTGTTTTCACCAGGGACTTTCGATTGCATATGCTAACCTTTCAATTGAATAGCTATAATTTATGTACAACGCTGAGAACATTGTTTAAGAAGAAAAAAATATCGCTATAAATTTTGCAAACTAATATCAATACAAAACCCTAATCTTACATAAATTTGAAACCCTAAAACCTACAATTAACCGGATTGCGATTGGATGCGAATAAAATTAGCGTTTGGAATAAGCTGAAATTTAATTATTAAAGGGTAAAAGTATATAAAACATCATTTTATAGCAACTAAAGGGCCTTTCGTCGGACTGTGCTAGGAGAGGCCGGTTAAAAATCATGTGCCATGTGCCATGCACATGACAACATTTTTAAGATCTGAAATTCCAAAAATACCCTTTGTTTATTTCAAAAATACCCTTCACCATATTCTATAGAAGTTGCTAGAAAGTGAGAATCAAACCGGGTATACAATCAGGGCTGGCCCTGAGATTGAAAAAATCTCGAGAGGCCCTATGCGAACTTTAATACGAGGCCCTTTATACATAAAGTTTCACATGCACAAAAATAAATGTCTATTTTTTGAATCCTTAGTAAAATTTTCAAGCCTAGCTTTTCTTGGAAGATCTCTTTCAACTAATAAATCTCTCATTTTTTTATCAATATTTTTCCAATTTCCTAGATCATTAATGTTCAAAGGAAGATTACCATTCTCATTCATATATTCTTCGTTTACCAAATCTTCAAATTCATTCACATTTTCTTCATTTTGATTCTCATTCCTATCTTCATTCATTAAATCTCCATGTTCATTAAGATTTTTTTCATTCTTATGTTCTTCATTCACCAAATCTTCAACTAAACCTCTATTTGTATTTTGTTCCTAAAAAGCTTATGAATAGTGTCTTTTTGAGAAGGAATTTTTTTTTTTTTTCTTCATGCCCAGATTCAAATTTTCTTGTAGACATAAATGACAACAAAAAAATAAAATAAAATAAAATAAACAGAAATAGATGTTATAGAATTAAAAAATATATATATTTGTTTTGCTGAATAAAATATAGATTACCTCAAAATGCAATGCAATAGGTTTTGAAATTTTGATTCTTACAGACAGATAGATAAAATGAGGTATATGGGTTTTGAACTCTGAGTCTTGTAGATTTTTTAGTTCGTAGTTGCAGAGACAGAGAGAGGGCAAGTTCAGAGTTCGGAACGAGAATAAAGATAGAGGCGATTGGGGAGGCTGAAATTATTTGCCCTAAAAAAATAAAATTCTTTTTTTGGTGGCCCATCATCCATGGGCCCATAAATTTTGAAGCCCTAGCAGTATGGTCATAAATCCGTGCACAAATGAACACGCCTACACTGGATTATTTTGTGTTGACTAGAATAAATGTAAGGTCTAGATCAGTGAGTGCACCATATTCTCATAGTTTGCGCTACACCAGATTAACCCATAAATGACCAGGTCACTTCTATGGCCAGATGCACATGCACACCAATACCCCATGCACTGTACCACGTTGAATCATCCATCCCTCATCAGCACCATCCAAGGGCCAAGATCTGCTTACACATAGCATACCATACATCGCGCTGCACTAGATTATAACCCTATTGATGCGCCATTCCATAGCCACCAGTGTATACATATAAACAAATATATATATATATATATATATATATTTCAAAGTTTGATCTCAAGTCAGGATTTTGGCAAATCTAAATTGTTGAAAAAGATAGATACGAAACAGCTTTCACGGTTCCTTTTGGCCATTACGAATGGAATGTGATGCCTTTCGGATTAAAAAATGCCCCTTCAGAATTCCAAAAAATCATGAATGATATTTTTATTCATCTTACGAATTTTTCAATTGTTTATATTGATGATATACTAATATTTTCTTCTTCTATAGATGCTCATTGGAAACATCTCAATGTTTTTGCTTAAACCATCAAGCATAATGGATTAGTCCTTTCTTTATCAAAGTTAACTTTGTTTCAGACCAAGATTAGGTCCTTTTTATTGGGCAGGGGATACCTGATCCATTGAAGAACTTCATTGAGGGGCTTGTAATTAATAACTAAACTAGGAATACCTCTCTTTATTTCAGCATTCTTTTGGACATAGAAAGCGGCACAACTCCATGGGGAACGACTTTTTCGAATGAGGGATTTGTTTAATAATTCCTGTACTTCCTTCATATAGTAATCAAGAAGTTCTTGACTCATTTGGCTAGGACGGGCTTTGGTAGGGATATCCTTTTCATTGAAAGATTTTTCATAAGGTAATTCAACAATGTGTTGTCTTCTGTGCCAAAAAGGGTTTGGGAGATCAGAGCAAACCTGACTTTCAAGTCTTAATCTGAACCTTTGAATAGAGTCTTGGAGACTTTTTTGACTGAGTCGTTCATCAATCTGTTTGAAGATTAGTTCTTATTTGAGAAAGTCTAAATGCTTTGTTTTGTTTTCAATCCTGTTGACAGCAGGGATTTGAGTAACATAGGAATCCTTAATGGTATTGAGATCCTTGGTGTCTATAGGATGAGCAAAAGGAAAGCAAATTTCTTGTCCAACTAGACTTGTTGAAATGCCTCGGCTATCAACTTTGAACGGGTAAAGAAGAGAAATAAATGGAGTTCCCAAAATAACAGGGGTATTGAGGTCTTTGACAAGAATGAAAGGTATTTTAATACAAAGACCCTGATTATAAACATGGGCTTTGGTTAACTTGTACTAAACAGTGAGTCGTGAACCATTAGCACCTTGAAGCCGTTCTTTAGTTTTCTCAAAGTATTTCATAGGGATAAGTCCTTCATTGATACAATTGAGATCAACACCGGAGTCAATGAGAGCCACTGTATGAATGGTATAGTCTTTGTTGATAACAATTTTTAGATTAACATGCCATTTCTGAAATGTTATCTGGGTCAGAAGGTTGATGTAAGTCTCATTGTCCTTGGTGGGATTTTCAGAAACTTGTTGTTCAAGTTTTGCAGAGGACTTAGGTAGTAAGGCACCTATCTGGGATTGTTGAAAAAAGATTTGGCTTCTGAGGGTAAGAATATCATGAGCAGTGGAATCTTTCAAAGCCTTGCCCTCTTGCTTTAGGAGTGAAATCTCTTGCTTGGTTTGTTTGATTTCTTTATGGAGATCTTGAATCGTAATTGGCATATGGGGTTGTGTACTAAATCTTTCAAAGATATCAGTAAGGTTGTAAGTATTTGGTATAACAACGGGAGCTTTGTCATTTCTTTGGCCAATGCTGTTGGTGAATTTAATCAAGCATTCCTTGCGTTGATCAAGATCTTCTATTTTGTCAATGAGTTCCAACATGAATTCTTGGTCCTTAGTAATCATACAGATGCATTTGGTTTTGATAGGTTGGTCATCCAAAGATGGGTTGGAAGAATCAGAATGAATCATAATCTGTATCAGCATGATAGTCATCTTCTTGAATACCATTGATATCATGTTTGGATTCTTCATCTGAAGAGTTTAAAAGAATTTGCATCAGTTGGCTCCTGATGGTTTTAGGGAGATCGAGCTCATTGATCTTCTGTTTGGCTTTACAATCACGTTTGTAGTGACCCATCTTGCCACACTTGAAGCATTTTATATCTGCTTTTGAGGTGGCAGGTTTCTTTTGAAAATGTTTTGGAGGAGGGGCATTTTTCTGTCTATTTTTCTCAGAAGAGAGATATTTATCTGCAAATGAGGGTTTGCTCTTGTTATACCGTGACCTGTTTTTGTATCTTTTGGGAAAAGGCTTGCGGTAGCGGGTGTGACTTTTTCGTTTGGAAGGAGGGGTTAGGTTTTCGAAGCCGAATTGTTGGCAGAAAGTTACTAATTCTTTTCGCTAGTGGCATTCTTACGCTTGATTTGCTGTTGGAGTTTGAAATCGGTGCAGAGAGCAATTCCTTCAGCTGTGATGGTACTAATGATGTCACCATAGGTGAGGGAGTCATAAGGAATATGGCCATTGTGTTTGGATTGGAAATGCTTGTGAATTCTCTCAGCAAAAAGATTGGGGAGTCCAGCAATGAACTTTTCTTTCCAAAAGGCTTGGTTACAATCAGTCCTGGTGAGGACCTTTGAGAGGAAGACATCCTTGTACCATCTGAAATCCTGAAGTTTGTGACATCGAAGGTTGGCTAGAATTTCTGAGGTCTTGTCTCTAACAATTGAGAGGTCACCGAGGAACTGTTTGGCGATAGAGAAAATAAGAGTAGCAACTGCATCTTCTATATCTGCACATTCTTCTGTTTTTATAATTGTTCCTTCAGGAGTTGTTTTGACAGAGTTAAGAATGGCTTGCGTTTATCTGGAGTGAGGATGTTGTCCCACCATCCTTTTAGTTGGCCTGTGAATCCTCCTACAAGGAGTTGTGTTATAGTATGATCAGAAGAGTCATTCTTGGTTTTGTAAGCAGTGTTGACCATTGTCATTTCTTGAAGTGTATTGAGAATGTGATACTCAGTTTTGCCATCTATGTTCCATTCATAAATGGTACCACCATGATAAGCAGCTTGGGAAAACTGGCCTCGTTCTTCGATCTGGAGGTCAGGGAAAGTTGGCCTGGGATAATAATTTCGAGAAGAAGTTGGTTCTAAAGTATTGACGTGTTGGTTCTGGAAGACCTCAGTAATTTCATCAATTTCAGTATCAGTACCAATTTCTTGGTCAAAAGTATTGATGGCTCTAAAAGGTCTTTCAGGCATATCAGGAATCGTAGTTGTGGAGGTCATAAGGGATTCAATATGCTTAATCCTGTCCTGTGCTTCTTCAATGGCAGTACGTTTTGATAGTTGTTTAGACAAGTGTAAGGGGATTTCATGGGGTATGAAAGGGGGAGCATTATCAGATTGAATGGGGATAATTTGTTCTTTCTGAAGCAAGGTTTCCACACGAGAAAGCTGATCACCAAGTGTTTGGAGGTGTTGATTTGTGTAGTTATTTTGTTCCATGATGCTTCGGACATCACGGGTCGTGGATGTGGTATTGTCATTGGCGACTGCCTTTGTCTTAAAAGGAGAAGCAGTAAGTGTGACTGTTCCTGACGCATTTGTCTTGAATTCGATTGCCTTGGCTGGGGGATGGATGGCTTCAAAAGCCTCACCACGTGATGTTTGCCAGGTAATGGTGGATTTGGTTGTGACATTTAAGGATTTGATTGTGGAGAAAGGAAAATCAATATTGTTGTCGAGACAATATTTTTCAAACCATGTGAAGAAAGGGGCTGAGAACTTGTGTTGTATGCAGAAAGCATACCACTTTTCTCTAATAAGGATGGTTTTTTGAGCTGAAAAGGTTTGGAAATACCATTGTCTTTTGGAATCATTGATCGCAGAGTAGAAATCTTTGCGTAAGAAGTCTTTGTCGATCTCATAAACCTTTTCTATCATGTAGAGCTGATGAACCTAATGATCGGGATCTTCAAATTGAGAATCATTTGGGGATGGAGGGGAATCATGACGATCTTCGTTTAGGGGAGGGTTTTGCAGACCTTTGTTTTGAGAACTAATTTGTGTAGGTAAAGGAATGCTGCGAGAGGATGGATGTCTTCTTTCTCAGTCTGTATGCTAACATTGTCCTGGTAAACTGGGTTAGCAACTTCTTTGTTTTTGACACCAACGAGGTTTGGATACCTTGTACGCATTCCTGAAAATGATTTTCGAGAAGGGGCTTTTGAATAGTTTGAGGAAGTAGCATGAGAAAAAGAGGATCTAGAATTTTTTATTTCTTGGATAGAAGGTCTAGATCTTTCTATTTCTTGGATAGTAAGTCTATTGGGCCTGTTGGAGTTAAATCTAACATTTACCGTGCCATCAGAAAATTTAGATATTTGTTCCAACCTTTTATGCTCGATCTTTGAAGGAGGAGTTGCATGCTCGAGAGTCCACTCTGTCGGGAAAGTGACTTCATTCTAAGTGATGGTCCTCGGAACATAAGTTTGTGAATTTTCGTCACTAGCATGAAGAAGAAGGGTTTTTCCTTTGGGAGACTCACGAAGAGCATGGGGGCTGACTTGGGTTGTATAGACTTTGTAGTGGATTCTATAGACAACATTGAAGGGTATGGCTCCATCCATCATTTTGTAACCACTACTTGAAACATTGAGGGTTAAAGTATGGAGGATTGTTGGATCATCAAGAGCTACTAAATAATTTGGAAAACAATTGAAGTATTGTGGGCCATCAAAAAGACTAGTTTGGCAAACTCCTAACAAAGAGGTTTCAAAATCGAGATGCCTACAATCCTTTAGAGTAAGTATGATAGCAGTGTTAAGTCCCCTTGATATAAGAGGTTTAACTGCAACTTGGACAAGCCCTATATGTAGGAATTTGTACTTCTTTTTGTGTTCTACTATGGCTCTTTTTTGCAAAAGTTGGATAACTTCAAAAGGGTTTTTGAGAGAAATAGTTTGTTCAACGGTTTTATTGGAGTATCCTATTTTGAGATTGAAAGTCGAAGATTTGTAAATATCCCTAACGGGAACCTTGGGTATATTCTAAGTATCCCACTGATCATTCTAACCACTATCAATATGTTGTTCTTCTTGGTTAACTATCACTCTTCCTCCAAGAGGAGC